ATGACACAGATAGCCTGTTGACTGTTTCTCTACAGAAGCCAGAATAACACGGACTTTAGTATCAAGAATAGCTCTGGAAGAACAGAATTCTAAGTATGTTTTCTGAATTGGCTCTGGGGTTTCTGGAATTGGTTCTCCAGAGAGCATTTTCCATGACAAGATGTGGTAAAAGAGATATTCATAATATAACTATTGGATCCTCCTAATCAATACTTATAAGAGGTAAGGTTCTAGGTGACTGAATTCGATACTTTAGAACATTTCTGTGTAACAAGTATAAGGAGTTTGACTGGCTGCTCCTAATTACAGTAGACAAAGTGGGGAAAGAAAAGGATGAGCTTAGGGATTCAGATTCCCAGTTTAAGCGCTGCATAAACGACCTGAAAGTTTCAATAGCTTCCCTGAAAGAAGCCTTTATCTCCTGTCACAGTGCTGAGATTACCTTAAGCCAAACCCGCAGTCTCACCCTGCAGGTGGCTAAATTACAACCCAAGTTGAGTTTCCAGCCTCACAAGGTGTCTGCTGGTACCGTGAAGGTGTTGACTGAGAAGTAATGGGATCCTGAAGACTGGAATGGGGACATATGGGCAGATCCTGAGGAAGCTGGGGATACTGAACCCTGACATTCTGCTGAGTCTTCTTTTCCAGCAGAAGCAGTCCTTTCACCAAGTTTGAAGAGATTAATCCTGCTTTGCCTCAGGAAACTGTAATGGCCTAACCCAAGATACTTGCCTTGCAAGACACTGTTGATTCTCCACAGGACCCATCCCCACTACCCCTATTGGCTTTTACATTTGTAATTGCACTCAGAAGTCCTTAACAGGTGAGGGACAAAGTGTGTCCCACAAGGAGCTGCACTACACTCCAAAGGAACAATGCGGGGCTTCCCTGGTGGCGCAGTGGTTGAGAGCCCACCTGCCGATGCAGGGGACACGGGTTTGCGCCCCGGTCCGGGAAGGTCCCACATGCTGTGGAGCAGCTGGCCCCGCGAGCCATGGCCGCTGGGCCTGCGCGTCCGGAGCCTGTGCTCCGCAACGGGAGAGGCTACAACAGTGAGAGGCCCGCGTACTGGAAAAAAAAAAAAAAAAGAACAAGGTGATTTTTCCAACTTCCACATACATAAATCTGGGGAAAGTGTGTGGGTGAATATTAAGGGTCTAAGATAATGGTGTAAGGAACCTAAAGTCAGATCTGGACCAATTTATTGATGAGGGTCCACTGAGCAGATTCTCATTTAATATTACAGCTTGAGGAGTTAGAAAGCGTTCTAACAGTTTGTTTGGTTGAAACATGGACCAGCAGGTGACCTACACTCAATGAATTTGAAATGCCAGAATTGCTTTGGTGTGCTTTAGAGAAAGGTATCCAAAGGTTTAGGGAGGTTGGAATGCTCGAGTGTACTTATCACGTAAGGCATGCTCACCCACCCTCGGGGATCCAGAGGACACACCTTTCACCATGACTGTGAGGTATAAATCTGAGGGGAGCTCCAGCATCCTCGAAGAGCTCAGAGGTCACACTTCTCTGTAGGTCAGAAATTACAGTGGCAACTGCCACCACTGAGCTGGGGGGATCTAAATGCAATGGGGCACTTGGGTCCTGAGTAGCAGGGACCAGGTGGTAACACTTAACCATCAGAGGCAAGGTGGGCGTGATTACTGTAATGGACAGCTGAGTGAAAGCAGTAATAAAAAGTCTGACTTAACAGAGACCTATGGTATTGGCTAGTTGCTCACAGTATCCTCAGATGTAAAATAGATGGGTGGTCCACTAAATCCTTGCTTGATCTATTTAAGTGGGAGAATTTTAGGTCAAGTGAACAGAAGTCAACTTGAATCATAAAAACAGAGCCATGGTCCCTTGACCAATTCTGATTTGAGCCAGTGTACAGACCCAGAACTCCTTGAATAAGGGAGAGGCCAGATCCCCTTAAGGAAGGACCCTGCTACACTACGAAACACGCCTACTATTAACCTTTCTCCTGCCCCCACCTCAAAGGGACTTACAGCCTTTTACCAGGGTGACTGTGCCTGGATGGAAAGAAGTTAAACTTTTCAGGGATTACTGGACACTGACTCTGAACTAATACTAATTCTAGGAGACCCAAAAAGTTACTGGGGTCCCTGAGTCAGAGTCAGGGCTTATGCAGGTCAAGTGGTCAGTGGAGTTTTAGCTCATGTCGATTTCACAGTCGGTCCAGTGAGTCTCTGAACCCATTCTGTGGTTATTTCTCTACTTCCACAATGCAAAATTACAACAGACATAATGAGCAACTGGAACAATCCCCACACTGCTTCCCGAACCTGCAGAGTGAACGCTATTATGGTAGGAAAGGTCAAGCGGAAGCCATTAGAACTGCCTCTGCCTAGGAAAACAGTAAACCAAAAGCAATGTCACATTCCTGGAGGAACTGCAGAGATCAATGCCACCCCGAAAGACCTGAAAGGTGCAGGAGCAGTGATTCCCACCACATCCCCATTCAACTTGCCTATTTGGTCTGTGCAGAAGACAGATGGACCTTGGAGATTGGCAGTGGGTTACTGTAAACTTAATCAGGTGGGGACTCCAACTCAGTTGCTGTTCCAGATGTAGTTTCGCTGCTTGAGCAAATTAACACATTCCCCTCTACCAGATATGTAGACATTGACCTGGCAAGCACTTTTTTCCCAATGCCTGTTAGTGAGAACCCCCAGAAGTAGCTCTGCCACTAGGCCTGTGACCCAGTAGTTCAATGGTGCTTGAACTACCAGTGGCACATAGGGAGGCTATCCGGAACCTTTGGCAGCCCCTACAGGTGAGTCACAGTGGGAACCATTAGGATTTGGCAGCAAAGCTCTGCCATCGTCTATGGACAGCTACTCTCCTTTTGATATACAGGTTTTGATTTGCTATTGGGCCCCAGTAGAGACTGAATGCTTAACCATGGACCACCAAGTTACCATGTGACCTGAGCTCCTCAGGAATTGGGTGTTGTCTGACCCACCAGGCCATAAAGTTGGGCATGCACAGCAGCACCCCGTCAGTAAATGGAGGTGATATCACTGAACTCAGGCCCAGGCAGGCCCTGAAGGCACAAAAGAGTACGTGGCCCAAATGTCCATGGTCCCCACTCCTGCCACGTTGCCTTCTCTCCCAGTCTGCACCCATGGCCTCCTGGGGAGCTCCCTATGATCAGTCGACAGAGGGAGAGAAGGCGGGTCTGATTCACAGATGATTCTGCAGGATATGCAGGCACCACCTGAAAGTGGGCAGCTGCAGCACTGCAGCCCTCTCCAGGAGAACACGCTAAAGGGAGATCCTCCCAGCAGGAGAACTTGGAGCAGTGCACCTGGTCGTGCACTTTGCTTGGAAGGACAAGTGGCCAGACCTGCAGCTGTATACTAATTCATGGGCTGGGGGCAATGGTTTGGCTGGTCAGGGACCTGGAAGGAACATAATTGGAAAACTGGTGACAAGGAGGTCTGGGGAAGAGGTATACGGATAGACCTCTCGGAATGGGCAAAACACATGAAGACATTTGTGTCCTATGTGACTGCTCACCAAAGGGTGACCTCAGTGGAGGAGGATTTTATTAATCAAGAGGACAAGATGACCCATCCTGTGGCTCCCAGGCAGCCTCTTTTCTCAGCCACCCCTGTCATCGCCCAATGGACTCATGAACAAAGGGGCTGTGGTGGCAGGGATGGAGGTGATACATGGGCTCAGCAACATGGACTTAACTCGTCAAGGCCAACCTGGCTACAGCCACTGCTGAGTGCCCAGTCTACCAGCAGCAGAAACCAATACTGAGTCCCTGCCATTGTGCCATTCCCTGGGGTGACCAGCCAGCTACCAGACGGCAGGTTGATTACACTGACCTACATCCATTATGTAAGGAACAATATTTCGTTCTTACTGGAATAGACACTCACTCTGGTCGTGGATTTGCCTTCCCTCCACACAGTGCTTCTGCCAAAGTACCATCAGTGAACTTACAGGATGCCTTATCTACTCTCACGGTGCTCTACACAGCACTGCTTCTGTTCGAGGGACCTTACGGCAGTTGCAGTGCAGCCATGGCCTATTCTAGCACTCATCTCACCACACTCCCTTCCATCCTGTAGCAGCTGACTTGCTAGAACAGCGGAACGGCCTTTTGGAGACTCAACTACAGCACCATCAATGTGGCAACGCCTTGCAGAGCTGGGACAATGTTCTCCAAGAAACGGTGCATGTCCTACACCAATATCCAGTGTATTGTTACTCCTCCCATAATCAGGGTTCAGGGGTCTAGGAATCAAGGGGTGGAAACGGCAGTGGCACCATTCACTATTACCCCTAGTGACCCACCAGCAAAGTTTTTTCTTCCTGTCCCCATGATCTTATGCCCTTCTGGTCCAGAGACCTTAGTTCCAAAGAGAGGGCAGCTTTCACCAGGAAACAGAAGGACTCCACGGAAATGGTACCTAATTCTATTGCCCGGCCACCTTGGGCTCCTCATGTGCATCTGAATCAAGAGACCAAGCAAGGAGTTATCCTACTGCCTAGGGTGAGGAAGAGTATGATGGAGCACAGCAGAGCCACCAGAGTGTCTCTGAGCACCATCATGGCCTGTGGCTAAGGTCATGGAAAACTGCAACAGCCCAGTTCAGGCAGAAACTGTTAATGGCCCAGACACTGTTATTAATTTACCAACGTTGTCCTTCATATTACGCTTCTGTTTCACGCTTAAGAAAATAAACCCTACCCCAAGGTCGTGAAGACAGCCTCATGTCTTTTCCTAGAAGCTTTCATACTGATACCTATGTTCCATGTCAAAATCATCTTGTGTGACGTGTGATGACTTAGAATCACGCAGTGCTACCACAGAACGTGTCTAACGAAAACCCGTGACATTAGTGGACCCATACACTTTGCACCCAAGCCGCTCAGGGTCAATTGCACGTACACACAGCAGTGCCAAGGAGCCGGGCAGGGGGCAAGCATGGTGCCCGCCCGCCCAGGGCCCCGCAAAGGGTTACCTTCAGCTTCCGGTTCCCTCGCCCTCAGGGACAGCTGTGACCAGATGCAGGGAGCCCTCTCAGCCAGGAAGACCAGGCTCCTGCACTCTAGAGCTGGTGGTCGCTGAAAGACTCTTTCTCCACTGGGTACCTTCCTGGGCGTAAGAGTGGGGCCACCAGACCCAGGTGGTAGAGAGGTGGCCACTGGTAGCAGTCATGAAACCGGGGGCAGACTAAACGGCCCAGTCATAACAACACCGATGTCGTAAACCTGGGGTCCACACGTAAACACCCTCAGTCGTAAACTAGGCCCAGACATGAACCCACCAAGTCATGAACCAGGCCCAGACATAAACCTGGGGCCCAAATGCACCAACCCCCCAGTCGTAAACCTGGGGCCCAGACGTAAACCGCCCCCAGTCATAAGCCGGGCCCAGATATAAACCTGGGGCCCAGATGACCACCCCCCCAGTCGTAAACCTGGGGCCCTGCCGTAAACCTGGGGCCCAGAAGTAAACCACCCCCAGTCGTAAGCCAGGCCCAGACATAAACCTGGGGCCCAAATGCACCAATCCCCCAGTCGTAAACCTGGGGCCCTGCCATAAACCTGGGGCCCAAACGTAAACCGCCCCAAGTCATAAGCCGGGCCCAGACATAAACCTGGGGCCCAGATGCACCCCACCCCTCAGTCAGAAACCTGTCCCAGCAGTAAACTTAGGGCCCTGCCCTAAACCTGGGGCCCAGACATAAACCGTCCCCAGTCGCAAGCCGGGCCCAGACGTAAACCTGGGGTCCAGAGGCAACACACCAGAATCGTAAATCTGGCCCAGCAGTAACCCTAGGGCCCTGCCGTAAACCTGGGGCCCAGACATAAATCGCCCCCAGTCATAAGCTGGGCCAAGACGTAAAACTGGAGCCCAGAGACAACCCCCGAGTTGTAAACCCGGCCCAGCAGCAAACCTGGGGCCCTGCCCTACACCTGGGGCCCAGATGTACACCACCCCCAGTCGTAAGCCGAGCCTAGATGTAAACCTGGGGCCCTAAGGCAAACCCCTGAGTCGTAAACCCAGCCCAGCGGCAAACCTGGGTCCCTGCCCTAAACCTAAGGCCCAGACGTAAATTGTCCCCAGTCGCAAGCCAGGCCCAGACGTAAACCTGGGGCCCAGAGGCAACCTCCCCCTGAGTCGTAAACCCGGTCCTGTCGTAAACCTGGCGCCCAGACGTAAACCGCCCCTAGTCGTAAGCTGGGCCCAGACATAAACCTGGGGCGCAGAGGCAAACCCCTGAGTCGTAAACCCGGCCCTGCGGTAAACCTGGGGCCCAGCCGTAAACCTGGTGCCCAGACGTAAACCTTCCCCAGTCGCAAGCCGGGACCAGACGTAAACCTGGGGCCCAGAAGCAACCGCCCTGAGTCGTAAACCCGGCCCAGCAGTAAACCTGGGGCCCTGCCGTAAACCTGGGGCCCAGACGTAAACCGCCCCCAGTCGTAAGCCAGGCCCAGACGTAAAACTGGGGCCCAGATGCAATGCCCCTTGAGTCGTAAACCCGGCCCTGCCATAAACCTGGGGCCCAGAGGCAACCCACCTGAGTAGTAAACCCGGCCCAACGGTAAACCTGGGGCCCAGATGTAAACCGC